AGAATATTGGACGAAGCTTTCGAGAAATCCAAAAAATGTACCGACCTCTGTTGAAATATTCAGCAGCTTCCAAATGATCGCCCTTTTCGATTGCATTACTAACCGAAAGCGGTTGCCTTGGCCTGCCTTAGAAGCCGGACAAATTAGCGGTTGGGCTGATGGTTTGTGACAGCGCGTCTTTGTTGTGAACATCGTTCTTTTCTGGGACAGAAGCCGTATCTTTTGGTAAGGATGAAAAAAATTATTTACACATAGTACATTGTTAAAAACCTAACCCTGTACCATATCGTACATCGAAATTTTACTACCCTACAGAACTCCTACCGATGTGCAACAGCTTTCAAGGCATTTACATACCGTTAGCATATTACAACCCGCTTTTTGAAACAGGCGCATACAATGCCGCAATACGTCGTCATATAAGAGTATCTGATGCTAAACATTGTTATACTGTGTAATGATTGTGCAAATTCCGGTTTGTAATGAATATTACATATAAACCCCTTCCGTTATCGTCTTCCTTATGATACCTTTTACTCAAAATATATTTTTTTGGACGCTTTTCGGTCAGAACCACCGCCTAAGTATTTTTGTAGTTGTTTTCATGTTCAGTGGTTTCTACAGCGTCATGTGTAAAACCGACTTGCTAATTTACTAACCTAACTTTCGTTTCAGAAATGGAAACAAGGCAAAAGAAAAGTAGAGAAGGACGAGTACAAAGGGGGCAACCTGTTCTACGCCATTACATCGCCTGGGCAGTTGTTAGATGCTGGAGACGCCGAGAACCGTGTCGACAAGTTCTTGAGAATGGCTAGGAGTCTCGACGGTAGCATACGCATGTTTTATTCCACTGCCAGCGAGAGCGCAAAAAGGATGGCCGGGCCTTATAGGTATTTTTTAATAATAAGTTACTAATCTGGTAATTGTGTCAATTGGTCTCTTTTATGTATGTATGTTTATATATATATATGCACTTTTTGTGTCTTGGAGTCAATTATTCCGCGGCAGCCCTTTTCTAGCACTTTTGCGTAGATTTTACCCCGTAAGCTCAAGAAGGTATTGCTCCAATAATGGGAGCACTCCTTGTGGTCTCTCTTCCTGAACAGGAGTACAACATCCCCCATTCTCCAGTCCGCTGGTGTCATCCCCGTAGTCATCTCCATTTGACAGACACGTTTAAGC